TTTTTACTTTCTTTACTTTTCTTACGTACACACACACACACACACACACACACACACACACACACACACACACACACACTTCTCTCCAGTCCTTACGTGTACCAGCCCTTATCCCACTCCAGATACACACGCTAATCGCCGTCGTGTTTTAGCAGCACCGGGGATCCCACAATCACGGAGTTCGCAGCCTGGAGTAGTTCCGACATTTCCCAGAACGCGCTGATGTACTACAGCGGCCGGCTCTTCTGGATCAATGGCTTTCGGATTATCACGGCTCAGGAAATAGGTCAGAGAACTAGCGTCTCCGTTTTGGAACCGGCCAAATTTAATCAGTTCACAATTATTCAGACATCCCTCAAGCCTCTGCCAGGTACAGTATTCTATTCCTGATTGCCCGCTCTCCTCCATACTTTCAGTTAAATGAACGTGTAGGCTGGGATTTGTTCTTAAGACTTACGTTTTAAGAGGAAAAAGGCTTTAGAAGTTTCTGTTGATTTACCTGCAGCCATTTTACTCTTAACTCAAGTTTACAGACTGAGAAAAAGATACTTCGCAGGACATAGTAAAGGAAAAGAAAATTTTGTTTCAGTACTGATTATTAGTAATTTCTATTAATTTTCCATGTATCTGTGAAGATAATAATCCTAAATTCTGTCTCTCTACTCTTTCTTTCATCCTGTAGGGAACTTTTCCTTTACCCCTAAGGTTATCCCAGATTTCATTCCAGAGTCTTCCTTTATGATTGAAGGAAATGCTTCAAGTTTTCAAATCCTCTGGAATGCTCCTCCAGCAGTGGATTGGGGTGTAATTTTCTACAGTGTGGAATTTAGTGCCCCTTCTAAGGTATGGCATTGGTTCTAGTAACTTCTATTTTTCAAACAGACTGTACCATCTGCATCAGCCCTGCCCCTACTGATTTGTACTTTCTTGACTTAGCCAAGCCCACCTCCTTCGTTGTTCCTGTAGCATCTGGTTAAGATTATCCCTGACAGCCAGTCTCTGATTAGTGTTAACTATCGGGGTGTTAGATACACTGGTCTATGTGGAATGACATGGAACTTACTGACATTAGTGTTTCCAAAACTGAAAGTTTTAACTTTACATGTGAACCAAGGTTTGACGATTTTAGTTAATTAGGAATAAAAGATTGTATGATTCTCTCCCTAAGAAAATAATGTTTTGTGCTTATATTTTAGTTCCTGGCTAGTGAACAACAGTCTTTACCTGTATTTACTGTGGAAGGGCTGGAGCCCTATGCCTTATTTAATCTTTCTGTCACTCCTTATACCTTCTGGGGAAAGGGCCCCAAAACATCTCTATCACTCCGAGCACCTGAAACAGGTACAGGGGTTAAAATATCTTTAAAAAAGGAAAAAAAAAAAAAACCTCACTTTCCATCATCTAGAATGGATAGTTAATAACTTTAAAAAATAACTGTCAGTTTTGTACATGTGTTTAGATTCAATATTCTTTCAGTGACTTTTGGAGATCAGGTTAGCACCACTAAAATAAATATGCATAATTGATTCCAAAAGAATATTTCAAAGATTTCTTAAAGACTGTTTCACTTGACTATAATGATATATGTATAATGCAGAAACATGTTTCAGGTAATTTGTGAAATGCTTCATAAGGAAAAAGGGGGTTTCAGAGCAGTTAAAATCTCCGGAAAGGCAGGCTTACTGGCAGATGTTTTCACAGATGGTAACTCAGAATCTTCTGTAGGTGAATAACTGATGTCTAAATTTAATGTTTTTCTTTGAAATATATTTTAAAAAAGGAAAGTACATCTTTACATGTGTCTATCACTTTAAAGCATACAAAGCACATTTCTGTGTATTACTCCTTTATTAAACATTTCTTACATCCCTGTCGTGTGTCAGAAACGTTATTATATCATTTCATTTGATCCTCACACAGCTCTGATGTAGGTAGGACAGTGTGCCAGTCCTATACTAGATTTGGGGGGGTTTAGTGAGGAATAAGAAGAGGTGCTTTCTCTGCTGGAGCTCATTAAACAGTGGAGAGATAAATGCACCTGCTGCTGACGATAACAGAAATAAGACCGTGACAACTGAGTAGCAGTGGCGTAGAGTGAGTAAACGAGAGATGAGACCTCCACCGCTATCAAGCTGCCTCTCTGCATTCTTATCAGAAGGCCGTGCACATGGACGGGCATGGCCAGGGAAGGCCTTGAGGGGTGGAAACTTTAGTTGGGCTCTAACGGGTAAAGCAAGAGGAGATACCCCATGTAAGTACAGCGTAAGAAGGCATGGGGGCTGGATAACGATGTGAGTGCCGAACATTAAGAAGCAGTGTGTGATTGGCATGGCGGAATGGGAGGGGACCTCATGGAGGCATCCTAAGAAGGAAGAAGGATGTCTTGGAGAGAATGACTTGGGAATCAGGCAGAGGAATTTCTCTTAATTAAGAGAGAGAGAGAGAGGAAACTAATTAAAGGACTGGGAGAGGCTTAACTGCTTGGATTAGCTCTTGAATAAATGGCCACAGCCAGACCATACTCTCAGGTGACTTCCTGCCTCCCAGGAAGGTTCAAGTGGAGAAGGGCTGGATCCTGGATATGCTGTATCTAAACCCCGAACTGGCTAAAGGCTGAACAGAGATACTGTCTTCCTTCCTGGTGACTGCCATTTCCACCTCCAGGGTGAGAGTAAATATTGTATTTTATAAGGAGAATCAGCCAGCTTCCATCTATACCAGCCATAGACAAGAAAGATGTGTCTCTGTGGCAGTCAGCAGGATTTAGGCTGGAGGTAAGGAAGATTTCCTGAAATATCAGGATAGGTATCTGAAGAAATCTAAGGAATATTCTCTCCTGAAGATCTGTAAGAACAAAATAGATCTTAATTGACTAGAACGAGAAATATTTATTACTAAGTTGCTCTGCACCCTCATTATGAGCAGTAGAAGTTGACCTCATATTCTCTGTATCTCTGCTTTTCAGTTCCATCAGCACCAGAGAATCCCAGAGTATTTGTATTACCAAGTGAAAAATATCACAACAAGAACGAAGTTGTGGTGGAATTTAGGTGGAATAAACCTAAGCATGAAAATGGTGTGTTAACAAGATTTGAAATGTTCTATCAATTATCCAAAGAAAGTGACACAAACAAAACATTTGAAGACTGGATTGTTGTCAATGTCACTCCCTCAGTGATGTCTTTTCAACTTCAGGGCATGAGTCCTGGGTACACTGTTGCCTTCCAGGTATGAGAATGAAAATGGGGATACAGTGGTCTTAATAGTGTAAACAGAAGGTTGATTAAAGGACTAGGTTAAGAATTCTGCCATTCTGTTGATACTTTGAGGTAGGCTGTGATCACAGAAGTCAAGTGGGCAGCAGAGGTCCAGAAGGGAGAGGGAAAAGCTGGGGTAGCGGACATCTTGACAGTTTTCTTGCTTCCAGATTTGGAAAAAACGCTGTTTTTTTGACTCCATTCCTATAGGTCATGTACCACACTAGGTACTTTTATATCTATTAGCTCATTTGATCCTCACACTGTCTGTGAAGGAGGAGCCATGTCCTTGGGTATATCAGTGAGTTGCCAAATCTGCATGGCTGGGAAGTGGCTGCTATGGTCCAGCTTCTAGGGTCCTTTCTACCATATCACGTCAACTGCTGTGAGTCATCTGGAGCCCCCCCTCCCCTTGCAGCTACCAAAGGAAATAAAAGCTGAGGGTCTGTGTAGTTGACGTCTCACCTTTTATCGTCTGGCTGCTAAAAGAGGAGGAAGTCAGAGAGAATAAGGGTCTGAAGTAAAAAGCAATGTACCTACTTTGACATTTTAAATTTAATGACAGCTTTCCACTTACGATAGAAGGCTTGATGATTTTCACATCCTCATTAAATGCCGGTTGCTGAACAATGTTGTACATATATATGTACATACATAGAGTTGTTTTCCATTTCTTTTGAGGGAACATAATGTTTTGGGGAGTGTTTTAGAGATCTGTAGTTTTGATACTAATCAAAAAGGAAGTACATAAAAGGTCTTAATATACGTTCCTATTTGTTAAGAATTATGTGTGTTCCAGTTAAAAAAATATTCTGGTTAAGTGTATTTGCCTTTATGTTTATATAGGTTCAAATCTCAGTCACCACAGAACTTTGCAAAGTGCTATGAATGGACAGACATGAGATTTACTTAACGTGGTCCCATGCAAAAGTGAAGACTGCTTGATATATATGTATACACACACCATAATACACACACACACACACACACACACTCAAGTCATTTAGTAGTTTATAGAATATAGCAAAATAGATTTAATACTAGAAGTATAATAAAAACAATCCAGTGTTTTGTTGATTGAGAGGGCACTTGAGGGTCTATCTTTCAAGGCTATTATTACTATGGCAATTTTCTTTCAGGCTATTGTACAAGGTCTGGAAGTGGAAATAACTATTACACAGTAAAAGACATCTAATAAAACCTGTTTTAAAAAAACTTTGCTGTTAGGATGCAGTGTGGCACAGTGAGGAGAAAAGCACATACATCTCAGAAGACTTGGCTCTTATGCCGGTTTCTCCATGTGTCATTGTGGATGGGTTTTACTTCCTTTAATTATTATCTTTGTCCAGTTTCTACTCTTAGTGGTTGTGAGGATCAAAAGAGATCATGTATGTAAAAGTGGTTTGAAATGCACAATTTATTTTCAAATATAAGGGTTAATTACTATTTTCATTTTATAAATCTCCTTTTTAAAAAGGACAGGAAATTTATTTATTTGAAGCTTCCAGTTGGTGATTTCATGGTAAGTGGAAGTTCACTGTAGTCTATATAGTTTTCTTTCTGTTAAATGACGTAACCTAATTCTGGAAATAGCTAAGGATCCTTTTGAGAAATTGATATCTTTTGCAAGAGAGATTTGTGCCATTATTTTGTACTTTTCTAGACAAAAAATATCTATCAACATGAGTCTGGGACAATATTTTTCCTCTTAGTGATTTATTGCTATATACTTTGATGTAAATAACTGTTTGAAACTATTCTTAATGTATCTCATAACCGTGAGATGAAATAGTCATTTATCAGTCTCAGAACTTAATTATTGTCACTGAGGACACTTTTGAATGCACTCTTTTGTATCCTTTTCTTTCTTTAGGTTCGAGTCTTCACATCCAAAGGACCTGGCCCATTTTCTGACATAGTAAAGTCCAAAACATCAGGTATTTATTCTCCAAAACCTGAGCAAATAACAATTAGTGACCCTCGGTATTCTCAGGGATACCCTAGTGCTATCTCTGAGCTGAAATTAAAGTCAAATAAGGTAATCAGTCTTTATCATCACCAAACATGCTTAAGCAAACCTAGGATTAGAGCACCTGGGCGGTCTCGATTGAGCGGAGTGTAAGGAGAAAAGCCAAAGGAGGCTCGTGGATTTCAGAACGGCCTGATACTGAATCAAGGGGTTTTGCTGAAGTTATTTTTCTGTACGTATTATCTATGTTTTTTTGTTTTGTTTTGTTTTGTTTTTAGAAATCACCCCATTTCCATACCTCATAACTCTTTCTGGCAACAAGATAGTGTTGTTAGATATGGATCAAAATCAAGTTGTGTGGACATTTTCGGCGGACGAAGACATCAGCGCCATGGGCTACACGGGGACCGATGCAGTGGGGTACTTTGCACAAGGAGGCGCACTCTTCCGTCTGAACATGCACGATCGGTCCAGCTCAGAGGTGTTTCCCTATGTAATTCTTTTGAAAGGAAGGAAGTGGAGCATTTGTGGATAACACCATGCTGTAATTAAAACGACTGGCCAGTGGTTAAGCCATTAAGATTATAACTGTGAATGGGACGGATGTTGTATAATGATTTAGTCACAAATGAATTCAGGTTAGGTTTTGGACAAATGTGGTCAGGCTTAATTTAGCAAACAGTTATTGGGTTTAAGGCACTGTGCTACCTGAGATAGAGGTTAAAAAAAAGAAGTCACAGTTCTTGAATAAACACAGTCTAGTATTAGTCTAACACTAGGAAGACAGTATTGCTTTGTGATTAAGAGGGAGCGCTTTGAAATCTGACAACCTAGATCTGTGCCTGTCGGTAACTTACTTAACCACTATGGTTGTGTAGTCCCTCATCATAGGGTGAAGATTAATGAGATAACCATGTCAGGCACTCAGGACAATGCCTGGCATGCGGCAGGCATTCACCGAACGTTAGCTAGTGGAGAAGACAGGCAGAAGACAGTACAAGGGCCATGCTAAGGGCAGGATGTAGTGGAATCACAGAGAATGGATGCTTAGTCCAGGTACGGTGGTGGTGGTAGAGGTAGAATGGAAAGACATCTTGGGTACAAAGATGATGAACCAGGTGAAGGTGGGGAAAAGCTGAGGGAGCGGCAACTGCAAAATCAGGGAAGCAAGAGAGCCATAGCCTCTTGAGGGAGCTATAAATAGAAGGATCTTGGAATGGAGGTGGAGGTGAGGGCAGGGTGAAGGGCAGGTGGTAAACCTGGAGAGTTGAGCAGGAGCCTTAAACTAACGGACTTTTTCTTTTTTGTGTGCTAAGGAGTTGACTGTCAATTAACTGATCAAGTTACGTTTTAGAAAGACCTCTCTGTTAGCAATGTGAATGATGATTTAGAGAAGGTTGCGTCTGAGACAAGTAGGAGGCTGTCACAAAAATCCAAGCAGGAGATGTTGGGCAGGAAGTAAGAGGCAGCGAGGTGAGAGAGGAGAGGACAAATTGGGGAGGTATTTAAAATGGGACTAATTCTCTATGAGTAGTAGATGTCAAGGGTGAACCACAGTTGTCAGGATTGCTCCCGGAGTGTGTTGGAAATCTGTATCAATGTAAAATGCAGGAGAAGAAGGGATTTGGGGGGTGTGGTGATGAATTCTGTTTTCTGGGATCATTCAAGTGGAGATATTCAGTAGGCAGTTTGATATTTGAATCAGTAACACAATGAGGGATCTTGCCTGAAGATGTGGACTTGTAACACTGGTCTACAGATTACAGCTGAAGCCATGGTTGTTGAAATTAACTAGGGGAAAATATACAGTGTGAGAAGAGGACCAGTGTTATAAAGGCACACAATCAAGAGTTGTTGAGGTTTTGGATTACAAAAGAGAATTGCAGTAAATAAGTAATATGGTTGATTACAAAAAGAGCCCTCAAATTTGAAGAAAATGACCAATATCTTCTTGATTGTGTTTTCTACCTGTTGTTAAGATTTTCCGGGATGCACTGGTTTTTGATATCACAATGATTACAGTTGACTGGCTTTCAAGGCATCTCTACTTTGTGCTGAAAGACTTGCACAATGGAATGCAAATATTTGATCTTGATCTTGAAAACAAGGTGAAATATCCCAGGAAACTGAAAATTTGTAACAGAAATTCAACAATAATCTCTTTTTCTGTGTATCCCTTTTTAAGGTATGTGAAGTGTGAATGTCTGTAATGTAGTATCTTTGGTTTACTATCAGAAGTCAATGATGGCACAGTAAGATGCTTCATGTTCTTGATTCACTATGTTAACATAGTAATTCTACATATAAATAATGAGCCCACAACCACCAATATGTAAAATTAATCCACACAGACAATTCGACTAACCTAAAATTAGGTTAATTACCAGCAGGAAACCACAGTTTATTTTTATACTGGTAAATTTAATAATACCCTCAGTTGGTAAGGACAAGAAGGGGTCTGAGATAGTAGCAGGAATGAGCAGGAGATAGACAGGTAGCATGTCTTACACGGCAAATGCTGTTCTGGGCTCATTCATCTTTAATTAATGTCCTCATGAGATGAATTTTAAGGGCTCTACCCAGCAACTGAACAGGAGTTCCTCAGGCTGGAAAGATATATTTTGTTTGTGCCATAAGGATAATTATAGTCTATTTTGAAACTAGATTGGTAACTAGTTTAGAAGCAGAAACAAACTTGAGAGGAAGAGAATGGAGATGGTGTTGATAAAAAGTATGCAAATGAATTTCATATTTACAACCTTTAATGAGCCATTTAATACACTGCCTAGGTCATTATAGTCCACGGGTTTCGTTGGAAACACATTTACTGAGAAATCATTGGAAAAGGCTACAAACTAGACTTCTTGTGACCTCTTCCATATCAGAGGGTTATTGAACACTGGGACGTGTTCTCTCCAAAGGTGACATTTGTCCCCACCATCATTAGAAATGATTGATCTTCATTAGAAACTGATATTTGCAATATGTTTTACTCAGTAAGTTGGAGGGTCTTTTTTTATCCCCTACAGTCGCCTGTATTGGACAGAAGTTTCCAATTTTGGATCTCAGATGTTCTATTACTGTATTATAAACCAGACCTTGCACCAAATTCTGCAACCCACAGCCATAAACCATCCATCTGGAAGGAGCCAATGTTCCTGCAACGTGACTGAATTGGAGTTAAGTGGAGCAATGACTATTGATACCTCTGACTTGAAGAAGCCACAGATATACTTTGTCAAAGGGCAAGAGATCTGGGCCATGGATCTGGAAGGATGTCAGTGTTGGCAAGTTACCATGATGCCTGCTCTGCTTGGTAAGACACTCATGTGTGCCTGTAGATCTTCACAAGTAGTGGCACAGTCCCTATCCTGTTACTCCTCCTGTGTTCAGAAGAATGTATACATGGTATTTGCTCTGGACCATGCCAAGTGGTTTTGTAGAATTCAAATGGTTTTCAGACAAATTGTACATAGGTAGTCACATAGTTTTCTGGATCTGTGGTGGGCTTTTCTGTTGTTATTTTATAACTAAGAGTAGAGTTGCAATTTGTTGAGCTCAACTATGTATTGTAAGCAGGTTACTAAGCATTATCTTATTTACTCTTCAAAACACCTCAGTGAAGCAGATACTAGTATCTTCATTTTACAGATGAGGAAATGAGGATGAGAAAAACCTGTCCAAAGGGCCACAATTAATAGAGGAGCTGGTGTTGGAAACTAGGCCTAACTACAACATCCATGATCTTACTTTCAGTGCTGTCCTTACATTCTGATGATCTTATTGTCTCCACATTCAGCATGAGTTGCTCAATACTTGACATGTTTATCTATTGAAATCCATGTGCTTGTCAAAGACATATTTGAAAGTCTAAAATGATTTGGAAATCTCCTAATTAAGAGTAATTATAATAGGAAAAAAATACTTTAAATACTGCCATAGAAAGCTGAACAGTTACATGTAAATCAATGAAGTTAGAGCACTCCCTCACACCACACGC